ATTGTTCAAGTCCTGTAATTGCTGTGTCGAGAATTCCAAATAACTTGTCAATCAAAAATTTTTTCTCATTCAGTAACCTCTCTGTTACTTTCTTCACTATCGGTAGCTGTATTTTCTGGATTTAGAACCATACTACAGATTTCGCGCTCCGTTAATTGATTGATGATTGGGGCATTGTCATCGCAATGAAAAACTTCTGTTTAACTTCCCTAAATTCTTCTGCCGCCTGGTGCGGCCATGCGAGGCGCTGGTTCTGGCTTTATGTGAATAACAAATCAGTTATTTTTAATTCAAATAGCACTAAATATAATCGTTTGTCCTATGAGTATCATTAACAAAATCTATTTTCAGCATAAGGAAAGAAATTTCTGTTAAATCTCCCCTTGTCAACATTTTAGCGCATTAAACTTAAATCTGTAATCGGATAATACTCTGTTATTTGCTGTTGCTGCATGAGTCATCACTCAAGTTGTCATCCGTTGATAAACATGCAAAATACAATAAATAATGATTCGCGATTTCGGCATCAAGGATATAAAATATTAGTTGGTGTAAAATTAACAAATTTTTCGGTTTGAAATTATGCCAAGCAGAAACGCAGCTATGGAGTCAAGTTACTAATCACACAAATTTATGCTAAAATAATTATTTCTTCAATAATGAGATATTTCATTTAGCACCAAACTGAGATTAAGAATCGTGATTTCCGACATGTTTTTTATGATGAGGAAAAAAATCTAATGCGCATGCGTAAAGCATACCCCTTCTCTCCAAAAAAGCCCTAAAAAATTGGTTGGTGGTGGCTTTGAGGTCCGGATTTTAGATCATTCCAGATATTGGATGTCCGGATCTTGGAAAATTATATATATATATATATATATGCAGACCCCAACACTCATATAGTAGGTAGTTAGAATTAAAACTTACTATTTACTTGCTTTAAGTATTTTTAAAAATTTTTATGTAGTATCTAAGTATTTTCTAAATATGAAATTATATTTTTAAATATATATTTATTTTAAAAATTGTGAATTAGTTCTTTTTGTTCTTTTTGTTTTTATTTCTTATTGGTTTATATGGATTATGTATAGTTTTTTTTTATAGTTTCTTTTTATTGATATGCATATTCGGGTAGGGGAAGTTTCTGTAGACAAGGATTTCTAAAATACATTGGTTTCTAGATTTTTTTATTTTATAAAAAAATTAATTTTTAAAAAATTTAATTTTTTAAGAAAAAGTTTAATTCTTAACTTTACTTGCTTGTTTCTCAAAAGACTTAATTAGTATTTTCCTTTTTGAACTTTAATTCTTAAATGTTAATTTCTAAGGGTACCACTTTATTAGAATTACTTTTGGTTTTGACTTTTACCCTTGCCTGCATGAATGACGAAAGACGAATTGAATGATTGGAGAGTTAGGTTTGGAGGCAACTTCCCCTTGATAAGTCTGTCTCCTGCCTACTCTACGATCATTCACTTATGCATTTAAAAAAAAAAAAAAATATTTAATTTAATTTTAATTTATTAAATTAGTAGATTTATTTTCATGGATATATTTTGCACTTGATTTGCTTATGCTTCTGAATTTAAATGATATTGTAGATTGGTTCGAGAATTAAATCTTTTACATGTTTGCATATTTTAAAATTATTTTAAATTATTTTGGCTTTTTCCTTTTTTTAGAATTTAAATTTGCTTTTTTACTTTTATACGTTTGTTAAGAATTTAAATTTCTTTAAATATATATATATATGTACTGTATATATATAATATATATATTTAAACAAATTAAAATTTAATTTTTAACAAACATAAAAGTAAAAAAGCAAATTTAAATCCTAAAAAAAAGGAAAAAAGCCAAAATAATTTTTAAAAAAATGTAAAAAATGTATATTTCAGTATACATTTCTTATTATATATATGTATATATATATAGATACATTATATACATATATATGCGATACTTAATTTTACTAATGCCTTGCATGTAATGCCCCTTTTAGCTGCAAAACATCTTTCCCTTCTCAACTGCAGAGTTTCTTCTAACAGTATCATGAATTTTGTCAAGTTAGAAGAACCATCTACTTCAGGAAAAGATGTAACTGCTAATTCAACATCAATAAGTGTAGAAAATAATAAAATAAATTCTTTTCTTTTCAAATCTGAAGTTACAGATGCAGAAATATTGTGGGCTTTTAAGTGCATCAAAAGTCACTATTCTTTTAAATCGTGCGATAATATTGGGCCTTTATTCACTAAAATGTTCCCGGATAGTTCCATTGCAAAATAGTTTTCATGTGGTGAAAAGAAATGTGCTTATATATGTTATTTATTATTTACATTATTATGCTGGACATTTTGGTCTTGGCCCTTATTTTAAAACTTTGTTACTAAAGCATTGTAAAAATGCTGAGTTTTTTACATTACTATTTGATGAGACTCTTAATCTGACAAATCAAAAGAAGCAACTAGATATTTATGTGAGGTACTGGCATCACGAAAATAAGGTCAGAACTCACAACCTTACTTCTGCATTTATAGGGCATGCAAAAAGTGAAATTATTTTATCCAAATTTTATGAATGTGTTGAAAAACTAGACTTGTCAAAACTCTTACAAATATCGATGGATGGTCCTGCAGTAAACTGGAAATTTTATGATTTATTGCAACAGGACTTGACAAAGGAATATAACATTCAATGCTTGACATTAGGTTTACACATTCTTAACAATGCTTTCAAGCATAGGATGTCATCCACTGGCTGGGACATTTCATCATTCTTATCCTCCTTATATTGGATTTTTAAAGATTCTCCTGCAAGACGTGAAAATTTTTTAAGTATATCTGGCTTAAAAAAGCTACCTGTGAAGTTCTGCTTTTACCGATGGTTGCAAAATGTCCCAGCAGTTGAAAGAGCCATTGAAATATGGGATGACTTGCTACTGTACATTAAAGAAGTTGAAATGGGGAAGTTTAAAAAAAATTCATCGAAATCCTTCTCAAATATTTTGGAGGCAACTAAAGATAAAACATTTCTTATAAAATTAAATTTTTTTCTCTCTCTGTCGAAAATATTATTGCCTTTCCTTGAATATTATCAAAGTGATAAACCACTTATTCCCTTTTTTGCTGAAGATATCTTAAAACTTGTAAATGATTGCCTTCAGCACTTTAAAATTTTGAAACTAGAATATTCAAAAATAACTAAAGCAGAAAATCTTTATAAATTTAATTTTAATGATCCAAATTGTTATAATGATAAAAGTAAAGTTTATTTGGGATTCATTGCTGAGCAGTTAATGAATGATAAATGCCGCAAGAAGGACATTTCACAAGCTGAAAGTTTTGCATTGAAACAAGGTCAACAATGTGTCTTAACAATAGTACAACACTTAATGTCTAAATGTCCAATAAATTATTCTCTTATTCGAAATGCATCTTGTATAGACCCGCGATTGATGGTTAAAAGTCCAGAAAAAGCCCAGAACAAAATGAAAATAGTTCTAACGGTATTAATGCAGAATAAACGTGTTTTACAAGATGATTGGGATGAAATTCTGCTGCAGTTTGGAGAGTAGTTAAGACAAATTTACATGAATTTTCTACTTTTGATCCTCAAAATCTTTCTCTTGACACATTTCTCACTTCTTATTTTCATGATTTTCACTATTCAAAAGTATGGAAAATAGTGAAAATGATTCTTATCTTGTCACATGGACAGGCCTCTGTGGAAAGGGGCTTCTCTGTAAATAAAGCAATTGAAATTGAAAATTTAAGTGACTCATCATACATTTTTCAACGCACAGTATTTGATTACATAAAATTTTCTGGATTGTTCTTAATATCGAAATTAATAAAGAAATGAGATCAGCAGCAGCTTCTGCAAGGTCTAAATATATGCAGTATTTAGAAGAACAAAAATCTTTAACTAAATCTGAAAATTCAAAGAGGAAAGAAATATCATTGAGGAACAAATTGATTATATGAAGCAGAAGAAAAAATTTCTTCAAAGGGACATTAAAGATATTAATGAAGAAGTAGATGCTTTAGCAGATGAAGCTGAGACCAGCATGAACATTGATTTGTTTATCAAAGCAAATGAACTTAGAAGAATAGTTAAAGAAAAGGAAATAGACATAAATAAATTAGATGTTAAAATAGCTGAAAAGATTTCAGATTTAAAAAAAGCACAAATGTTTTGTATCTTTTATTGTACAGTTTATTATTCTAGTATCTTTCAAAAAAACCAAGGAAATAAATTGTATGTTTACAAATCAGTTATTTTAATCTGCAAAATATTCTTACATTGTGATTATAATAGTAGTTGACTGTGTTTAAATAAATATCAAATAAGTTAATAATAATCATGTAAATCTCTAAAATAGTGACTGTTATTAGTGTAAAATACACTTATACATGTTTTTAAAGAAATTGTGTTCCTAATTTAATGTTATCTACTTCATAACTTGTAGGGAGTTAGTTTAATTTTCAAAATTGTTTTATGGTAAGTATTAAAGTGAATTTAATAATAGTGCATAATACACACTTCTGTTAGTTTCTTAAAGTGAAATTACAAGCATGAAGTCGGTTGTATGGATAATTGCTTTATTCTATTTGTTTTTTTTTTGTTTGCTGATAGGTCCTTAATTTTTTCTTTGATGGTCCTTAAAAGTCCTTAATTTTCATCTAAGGAAATGTGTTCGAACCCTGATGTGCTGTCTTTTAGTGGAAAAATCAAAAAGCAATTGTATCAATTTTTTTTATTCTTTCAACCCACAATTTCAGTTCATTTTCCAATAAATTGCTTCAAATATTCCCAAAGATTGAAATCCATGATGTCTGGAGACCATGGAAGTAAAAAATTTGTAAAAATCAGCTAAATTCTTAAAGCCGTTTAAGAAATATCATTGTGTGAAACATCTACAGTTTATTTACAGTATTGAATTTGGCTGTATAGCTAAGTCAATTTCATAGCATAATGAACTTTATTCTTTGTTTCAGGGAAACTGAAATGCCGGAACATGCTAAAAAGTTATCTCTGCGAGAAATACAAGTAATTTTTTAATTAAAATATACTTCAAGGGAAGGATCTCATTGTATTAATTGTATTTTAAGATTATCATGAAGCTGTCATAATTAAATGTAATATTTGATTTCAGAGGTTGAAAAAGATGCCTCCTCATATGCCAGATCATGCAGTCACTAGGTAAGGTATAAATGAAAACTAAAGTAAAATCATTAGTCTGTATATGAACAGAAGAAACAATATCTTGTCTAGTTAAGTAGTAAAATTGTTAATGTGTATATATGCAGAAGTTATTATCTGATCTAATAGTAATGTATTAAAAAGTAACTTTATTTAACTTATGATTTTTAACATTTAGAACAAGGGTACTTATTGCACATTCTCACAACCATGCACACAATCATTCTTCAGTCAACCATGTTGATAACAGTCTTTCCATCAAGCAACATCGCCATTTTTGTATGCTCTTAAACTTAATTTTAAAAGACATGCTTGCATGATTTGGCAGTAGTGGAAGAAATTGTGGTAACATTTTCTGCAGGAATACAGAATTTTGCCATAAAATCTGTAAAGGCAATAACTAGGGGATGTGTTTAGTAAACAGCCAGCATTGTCGAGGTTTGCACCATGTTTGAGAATTCTTTGATTTTTCTTTAAGCGGAAACAGATCGTTGTTTACATGGGGAGAAGAATAGCACAAAAAAATTGCAAAAAGATTTGGTGAAGAATGCAAGTGTTTTATTTTTTAATGTATCATATAATCCTTGTTTAATAATTAAAATTTGTATTTTAAATTGCTAAAGAATATTTTCATATGTTAATAATGTCTACTGACTTGTGATAAATATCGATAGTTTAAAAATTTTCTAAAAAATTTTTTTTTGAAAACCACCAGCTCTCACCTGATTACCTTTTTATATGTAAAAATAAATACCCAAATGCACGAAAGTAGTTTCATTAATACATAAGTACCAAAACAATATATATTGATTATTTTTGTGTATTTGTGTGTCATTCTGTATTTAAATTCACACTGCTTTTCCCTATTACTGATACATTTGTGATGCTAAAAGAATTAGCAATAAATGTTAAAAGAAAAGATATGAAGTTTAAAAGGGGAATTAAAACAAAAAAATTACATTTAGAGGTTGCATCGCTGAATGCAAATAGGCAACCAAAATTAGCATGAAATGCAATCCTGAACTTCACCACAACATCTTAGAAAGAGGCATGCAGGACTTGAGCATCAGTTTACAAGTAGCGATAGTTCCGTATAATCTGAGATAGCCAAAGAGGAGAGCAGGAGCCGGAGACACCATATGCACGATGAAATGCGTTCGATGGCTGTTGGGATGTTGCAAGCTAGTGCAAGACAATTTGTTGTTGCAAGAGAGCTGAATGTGGATCGTAGCATCATCAACAGGCTGTAGAATCGTTACCAAAGGATCAAATAGCATAAAACACAGTTCTGAACTTGCACTACAATGGCTTAAAAGGGGTCATACAGGACCTAAGCATCAGTCCGCAAGATGTAATAATTCTGTGTAATCTGAGATAGCCAAAGAGAAAAAGCATGAGCCGAAGACGCTATATGCATGATAAAATGCGTTGGAGGGCCGTTGGGATATTGCAAACTGGTGCAAGACAATCTGCTGTTGCAAGATAGCTGAATGTGGATTGTAGTGTCATCAACAGGCTGTAGAATCATTACCAAAGGGACCGAAACCCCTGTAGAAGACATGAGTTCTGATGCCGGAGGATTACCACAATGACAGATGATCGCTTCCTGTTGCTATATGCAAGATACTGCAGATCACTAACAGCATGGCTTCTGACATCGTATCTCTCTGATACTGTAGGAGAGTCAGTATCCTGTCAAACTCTGTCATGTCGATTGCCTAATGATGACCTTTGGTTTATGTTCCTTTCTCCATGTTGTATGTGTGGTTCCAGAGTGTGGTTGAATTGAGCCCGTGAACATCGTAGTTCGACACCAGAACAAAGGGGCACGTACTCTTCATGCATATGTCTGATCCAGAAGGATTCATGAAAGGCATCTCTCTGGATAAGACATATGCGTACTATCCAGACATATGCTTAAGCATGAGACTTATGCGCAACATCCAGAAAAATTCCCAAAGGGCAGTGATATGACGTGAGCCATCGGGTGCCAAACAGTGTCGAGAAAGAGACCATTTTAGAGGAGGTGGCTTACTTGTATGGGCTGAAGTAGCAACGAACAGCTGCACCAACCTCTACATGATTCCTGGTGGTTTTGTCACAGCTGTCTGATATCGCAATGAAATTCTACATCCTTTTAACACATCCTTTTCTCACTGCAGTGGGCACTAACATGATATTTATAGATGATCATGCCTGCCTGCATAGAGCTCAAGTAGTGCAGAGTTATCTGGAGAATGGGAAACCATTTCACATCTCGCATGGCCTGCTAGATAACCATACCTGATTCCCATAGAGCATGTGCCGGGCATGTTGGGACAATGGATAGCAGGTCGCAGTTCTCTGCGAGGCACCCTCCATGCATACATTACTGCAGGAATGGGTACTAACTACAGGAATGGGTCCTACTACCACAACAAGTGATCAACGACACTGTGGCCATGCATTTCAGTTACATGGTATCATATCTGTTAGCATGATATTTCCATTGCACATTCTTCCGACCCATTTGGTTTTTCGCAATGTGATGGCCGTAAAACATGTGTTTTATATGCCTTGTTGTTTTTTCTTTTCTTCTGACACCAGTTGTTACGTTATTTTCTTCCTTCACGTTCGTACGGGGTTTGTGTGGATTTGGAGTGAATAACGACGACACTTGATGAAGTATTGAAACACACTTTATTGGCCAGTATTGTCAGGACAGCTCCAAAACACGTTTTACAGTCGTCGAAGAACTACCATAAACACGCTGACACAATCTGCGACACAGCTTTTAGATTATCAAGCTATCACGGTGGAGACAGCTTCACTGCAAAGCACCCGACTCTGCTTTCCAGAGTACAGCTCCCGACTCTGCTGGTCATTCTCGGAACTCCACGTACTCTCGAGATTCTCCACACTACAACTTGCAATGCATTCGATGACACACAAGCACAGCTCCCGACTCTTTGGTTCAGTCGTTCCCGGAGCTGAACACGCTCTTTCGACGATGCACTAACCGCAGTACACTAACAGACTCCTTCGGTGCACTCGACGACCCACTCGGCACTCGCTGCCTGGCTGTCAACTCGATCGACTCCGCATGCTAGACGAGGCACACTTTTTGAGACAGACTAACTGACTGCGGACCAGCAGGGTTTATATAGCTTTCGGCTTGTGTTCAAGATCATTCTGGGCTAAACCGGTAAGAACTCGTTCCCGTCCGTCCATGGTATATCGCCAATTTTGTTAAATGGACGATTTCTCGCCAAATGTGGCAACCCTGCCCTCCTTGCTATTTTATGGCAACCCTAAAACTGTTTCGTGGTTAAGCCATCTTACCACACCTGTACATTTTGTAACAGCCTTTTCTTCATTGTTTGATATTTGGTTTAGTAATACCACACCAGCTTCTTGGATGAATTTTAGGCATATCCATTAAATAGTTTTGTTTATTCTGTGTGTTGCGTTTGTTGCTTATTTTTTGGGCAGGAGTGCATATGTACTACATTATCATTAGGACATAATGGAGCATACTTATTTTGGTTCTGGTTTCAGTTCGTTGCAATAAAGTGAAAATTGTAATAATGGTAATAGATGTGTATGCTGCATGTATTCTGCTTTATATACACTAAGGATATTTATGCTTTGTGCATAAATGATGCTATGTCATTATACTTTAAATGTAGTTAGGTTCCTTTGCTTTTTATATGTAGTATAGGACTGGAATAATACTCTGAGTTTCTTTTAAAGACTTTAAATTCACATCTTGACTAACTGTTGTACACAGAAGGCCTGTTTATAGTGTCTCTTAAGATTTATTTATTTCAGCTTTTCCTCAGTGAGAGTTGTATAATTCCTTCACTTAAGGTAAATGTATGAATGTTAATGGTTTAATTTTAAAATAGAAATGAAAAAGTTTGAACTGTTGAGAGAATTAGCAGTCTATGTAATAAGTATATGAAATAAAAATTTTGTACTACTAATATGTAAAGAAAAATTTGTAGTACAACAGTAGACAAAATTAAATAGAAAATTTTTTATGGATATAAATACAGTATTAGTTTCAGAGCATTTAAAAGACATGCTATAACTGTTACATAATGTAATTCCAACAGAATAATAATGAATTTAAAATAGCATTAGGAACACTACAGTATGCATATAAGCGAGAAGTAAACACATTTGTGGGTAATGTATCAGTCATCAGCTGATTCACTGCAGGATTGTTTGTTAGCTTCTTAGTTCTTAAAATGCTGCAGTATCTCTGAAAGGAATACATGGAGGTTATGCATTGACTTCCTTCGTGTGTTCAAAATGCCCACTAAAAAAATAATTTTTTACTGTAAATTAAAAAAAAAAAAAAAAATCTGAATGCCTGCAATATGAACGCATATGTCAAGACTACATTGAAAAATATGCTGGAATTATTGAATGAAAGCATGATATATATATACAATATTAAATTCTAATCCAATTATGATAAAAGTAATCCTTTAGACTCGTGCATTTGACTATTTTTTGTATGGCATTCTCTTGTAGCACTAAAGCAGTTACATCAAAAGAATGTTCAAAAGCATTTATATGGAGATCTGCTTAGATTATAACTAAACCATTTATGTAAAGTAAAAGAAATTTTGAAATTTAATGAACTTAATTTTAACAAAATATGCTGGTTGTATGATTAAATTTTGAAATGATATTTTTGAGATTGAATTTCATTTCTGATTATTATATAAGCTGCTTTTCTGAAGTATGTTAAAATTTTTCATCTGTCAGCTAATTTTTGGTTTTTGTGAAACTAATGAAACGTTTATTCATGTCAGTCATCCTAGCGTTTTGAAATAGATGGGGCATATGTATTAAATATTACTCCATGAATGGAAATAATTTTTCAGTGTCTCTTTCTCTTTACCCATAGGTCATTTAATAAATCAAAATGGTTTTTTCCGCCATTGCAACAGAAACAAGATTTTGGTAGTTCCTGTGTGCTAATATAAATGGTATATGCGGATTATTTTTAGTATGGAAAACAGCAGTATTTATTTTTATAAATATGATTCTTGAAATACATAAATTTCTGGTATCTTTAATTATGATCCTTACTATTGGTTATGTGAAGTGAAATTTGCATGTACTAAAGGAAAAGTTTGATATTTGTAATAAGAAATTAGAATTTCAAAAATTCAGTTTGAAAAAGTATTTAAATGATTAAAATTTTAAAAGTTTATTGATATATTTAAAGAATCTGTTTGCTGCTTTTAAAGAATTTGTTTGCTGATCCTGCTTTTTCCAGTGTATTCAAAGCATTTGCTTTTTGTATATGAATTTATGTTTTGATAGTACTTTTTTTTTTTTTTTTTTTTTTGCTAGGAATTATATTGAACTTATGACAGAGCTTCCTTGGGCCAAGTATTCTCCAGAAGTGATTGATATCAATAAATCTAGGTATTGAATTATAATAATTTTTTTTAATTAAATTGAAAATAAGGTATAAATTTTAACATTATAGCCAATTATTACCAAGGGGCCACAGATTCCAAATAAAAGTAAAATTACTATACAAATTTATAATACAGAAATGCATAAAAGCTAAATGATAAACAAATAGAAATCTTCAACCAATTTATAACAATATTGCAAAATGAAATAAATGTTTATTAATAAACTTTTACATCTTATGTGTGATGTATTGTTTTATAATAAAAATTATATTGGAAAATACAATCTAAATTATTGAGATATATTCATTTGCAATTGAAAAATATTCATGTATAAAGTCTTATCTCTGTTCATTTACTAAAGCCCCGTTCACAAGAGCAGATTCAACCGATAGCAAAAACCGGTTCTTCCAACATGTTCCATTCACATGGCGAACAAGCATTCTGCCTCGCCGAATTGGGGGTAGAACTTGGTTGAATGTTCCTACATTTCTGAAGCAGGGCAAATGGGGAGATTTCACATACTGCACTGTGCGATTGTGTCGTTCACTAATTTTAACAAACAACATGGCTGACGTGCAATTGACTGCTTGCTGGACTGTCAGCGAAATAATCGCGTTAATAGATATCTGGGAATGCGATATCATCCAAAAAAATTAAATGGAACCATACGAAAAATGGAAATTTGTGAATTAGTATAGACAAGGTTATCTGATGCTGGGTATTCCAGAAATAACGTTCAAATTAAAACTAAAGACGCGCATATCATCTTCGACAAGACAAGGGGACTCAGTACCTTTTGAATGATTTTTTTTTTTAATTTAAGAAGTTTCATCTGCTTTTTTTTTTTAATATTATTAAATAGTTTTGTAAGACAAGATAATTTTAGGCTGAAAGAAAATTTTTAGTCCAAACGGGTTGAGGGATGGAAGATGATGTGCATCTGAACCGGTCCTGAAGGCGAAAATGCTTCATATCCCCATTTCTCCCTAATATAAACAGTGGCTGCGCGAAGGAGCGTTGCATGTGAATGGGGCTTAAGTAAGTGCAGGTGATGTTTCTTTCTTTTTTTTTTATCTTGTCAGAAATGTATTAAATTTTATAATTCTGTCATACTTATTTTGGAAAAAGTATTGGCAAGTGTGTAATTGCTACAATGTAAAATATTATCTAGAGGTTATTATTTAAAGTTTTGAAATCAATGGCAAATGAATGTTAAATTCTGCAGTTATTAGCATTCAGTATAATCGTTGTACAGTTTTTTCATCTGATGCATTGTATATTGTCATCAGTCAGCACTTTATTATAAATCATTTTTATATTATGAGTCCTGCAGTGATATTGTTTTAAACACCCTTTCAGTAATTTAACTTTGGAGGCGATGAAAGAGTAATGAGTACTAATTGTTTCAATTTTGTATAGTATTTTTGTATTTCGTTTTTGGAAATGTTGAACATTCATAAATTAGTATATATTTACTTTTCTAGTACTAAATGAAAACTGAACTTTTCAGATTAGATTTGGATGCTGATCATTATGGAATGCAGAAGTTGAAAAAACGAGTTTTGGAGTATTTGGCGGTCAGACAACTTAAAAATACTTTGAAAGGGCCAATTTTGTGTTTTGTAGGACCACCTGGAGTTGGAAAAACAAGTGTTGGCAGATCCATTGCTCGATCATTGGGCCGAGAATTTCACAGGTAAGTTTTGTATTTTCTCAGAAAAATAAATTTCATTTTACTTAAATAAATTCTTGCTTAATTTTTTTTTAAATACACAGTCTTCTGAAAAAAAGGTAGATTTACAGCTTTATTAGTTGAAATATTTTGACCTTTCTATGCTTATGGCAACTCCAACCATCTCCTTTCCAATTTTACATTGAAAGTGTTAACTGTGCACATTTGTTCATGTAAAATATTAATGATATAAAAGTATTTTGATTTATTATTTATTAAACATATATTTCTTTGAATTTTAGTTGCACAATGTACTTATCCATAAGACCTTGAAACGCTACTAATGCAGTGTGTGTTTCTGGCATTTTTGTGATTTCCCAATGTATAAGGGAAATATGAGCTAGATTTTCTTTCAAAGTTCTCCATGAAAACATCTGTTTCTTAAGCAGATAGCCCACAAGTGCTTTGTTGTAATCAATTAAAATGCATTATACGTTATATCCAAAAATTGTCAGAGAATTCTCATTTTGATTGCAATTGCATATGTTGCTCAGGTTAAAATAAGTTTCTTTGTATTCAACACTTTACTTACCAGAAATCTATTAAACCATTTTATCTGTATATTTTGCAGACTAAAAGATTATTAATAAGCTCTTGCATGACGAGAATACTTTTAATTGCATCTTTATGGAAGCAAAGACAGGTATTTGAGGGAAGATAATAAGAGAGCTATTTTCTATGATATATTTGTGGGATGTAAAATACAGTGAATAGTTTGCAACAGGCATATAAAAATGTTAAAACAAATTATTAAGCAAGTGGTTTTTTTAATGTTGTTAATTAATGTCTATGAATATATAAAACATAAAATTTCATTCAGTGTGTAAATTTTTCATGAAAGACTATGTTGTATTTGTAGATATTCATGAACTTATTAGTAACTGTAGTTACGCTGCTCAACTTTAAAAAGTAGGCTGCTGCATTTAGGCAAAAGACGTCACTGAAAAACAAACTTGGACAAGGCCACAGTATAATTGAGACTACCAAAGAATGCATGTGAAAATTGAGGTATATGTAATGAAGATTCAACCTATGGTGGTTTCTTAGATTGCAGGATATCCATAGCTGCCAACTCTTCCTGTTTTTCATGGTTTTATGGCATTCTAGTCTCCTGATAAACTGCCGAATCTCCTAGATTAAATTCTTAGCCTTTTCTAATGAAAGTATTTTTCAAGTACAAAATTTGCACACTTCTAAATTTCGTTATTTAATGAATTATTGAATTCATTTTCACACCTATAGTGATCCTAAATATAATTTTTGTTATTAAACTTGATTTGATGTGAATTTTCTTAGTCTACTGTAGATATTTGATTCATCCAGTGTTTAATCAGTAAATATTTGTATTTAATTTTGTTTTTATAGATTCATTTTATTAGAATTATTAGGTCCATTTTGGAACAGGAAACATGAAAAATAAGCAATGACTTCACTGGGATTCGAAATCCAGACCTTCCTATTGCTAGCTGCACATGCTTCCAAAAAGTTTACAGGGAGTTTAGACCTAGTCACCAAATCTTAATAGTGATGGAATTTTCATCCATCACATTTTAAATAGTGTCATTATGAAGCAAATATTTGATTTTTTAGAGGCGAAAGTTGTAAAAAATATGTAATGCCCTTTTTGGGTTTAGAAGTCCAGACCTCCTATTTGCTAGTAATATTTGTTTCCAGCTGCACCACGAAGGTACATAGTAAGGAGTGAGAAAATATTTAAATATATGGTACATTTCTATGTTTGTTCACATAATATATACACATTATTATATTTGCTGTACTTTAATATGTTAAAGCTTTCCTTGCCTACTCGGTATTTTCTCAGCTTAAAAGTGTCGGAAAATTACAGAATAAAATTAGCAGCAGAACATAATAATTTGAATATGTATGTAATATTAATGCACTTTAGATCAGAATCATTGTGAATAGTTGAATAATTTGTGTCATATATTATAAAGTGAATTTAAATCAATTTTGATTTCTTTTAAAATAATGTCCAGTATGAAAACCACCCGTAAACTCCCAGTTTTTCATATTTCAAGGTTGGAAACTGTAGACATCAGACTTGGAATGAAGGGGAAAATCTTGTCAACTGTTAGATTAGTTGGAACATCCTTTCATTTGCCTATTTTATTCCAAGATCTCATATAGCAGCAAAGTGTCGTTTTATATTTAATATCAAAATTTACCATGTTTCTTAATGCTAGATAAAAAATTTCTATTATATTAAATATACTGTAAATGATATTTAGTAATGGCTTTGTTAATAAGCTGTAATTTCAAATATTACTTTTATTTCATTAAATGTGTTTGCAAGTTGGTGCTCATAAATTGTGTAAAATAAGCTTTTCATTTTATTGATAAGAAGAGCTGGTCATACCAAATCTTTTTTAATTTTTGATTATTTTTTTTATTGAAGCTAAATTATAATAATAAGATACACAAATTCCACTGTTTTTAATTTAATCATACTTTGTCATGTATAATTAAACTTTTTGATTTCATTAGCTGTCCATATTATTTAATAATTTTTGTATTTAAAATAAATTGAAAAGTGTTTATTCTCATTTTAAGAAAATATTATTCCTGTATAAAGTTTTTAAGCTTTATTGATCATTTAATAATTTAAAAAATGTGATCAAAGCAGTTTAGGGGGTGGCGTGAATTACTGATGTGAAATGGTGAAAATCAGATTGTAGCTTTAAAATGTGTTAAATGATAAGTGAATCATGAAGAAAAATATAATACATTCTTCATGCAAAACATTAAAAAATTAAAAGTAACTCTTCTTACATTTTCTATGAAACTATTGAATAAAGAAGAAAAGTATAAGCTATTTTAGTGAGAACTAAATAAAAAAAGCAGAATTCAAAATTAAGAACTAGTATTTGGATCTTAAGACTAACTGTGATTTATTTGTAATTTAAAATGATCTGTTAATGAAAATAAGCATTATTTTCCAAACTGTCAGTTTCTAGGGGATAGCAAAACATTTTGTAAAAGGTTTTTGTTAATAAATTTTGAAAAGGCTTTAATAAAACAAATTTGAAATATGTGTTCCTTGTACATTTTAAAAATTAAATGGATTATAAAAGATGTCATTTTGACAATCCAGTTTTAAGACTGAAAAAGTTTTGAGAAATATTCCTTTAATATATTTCAACTGAAAATAATGAAGCTATTAATATCTGAAAAAAGTAATTATATTAAAATGTTGTGTGTGAAAATACTGGAAATGAGAGAGAAAAGATATTTGGAAAATACATTGGCATAAATTTTGTGTATTTTTTTTACGGAATCATGAATTAATTTGTTGTGAAAATAATATATTCAGAAAAATGCATTAATATATTAGAGCATGGTATTTCAAATTAGATTAACATGAATTTTCATCTTGTTTAGAATATCATTAGGTGGTGTTTGTGACCAAGCAGATATCAGAGGCCACAGGAGAACTTATATTGGTTCCATGCCAGGCCGAATCATCCAAGGTTTAAGAACTGTAGGTGTGAAAAATCCAGTTTTCCTTTTGGATGAAATTGATAAAATGGTATGTTTTCTTTATGTAATTAATATTTATAATGCAATTCTGGCATATTAGTTTGTGTTAGTTCATCTTATCATTAATCTATTTAAAGCTTTAATAGCTCTATTGCATGTTTAGAGTAATCTTAGATATCTAAAATAATTAATATAAGAAATAAAGGTAATTAAATATGGAAATATTAAAAGATAAAGGAAGTTTTTCCATCTGTAATTATGATAAAAATGAGAAACTTGTTTGTCACATGGGCGAATTGTATGGAACTGGTTAAAATTTGATGAGCCAACTTACTTAAAAAATGCCTCGTACACAGCCAAGCTGTGTACGAGGCATTTTTTAAGTAAGTACCTGTTTGATATAAAAATAGACAAGTGTAGTTTTTTTTAGCAGTTTTATTTTTACATAAAAGCCTGTACCTTAATCTAATCTTAATCAACAAAATTACTACCAATATTAAAGCATTCAAAGCTTTTTTTTTTTTGTACACGTCATTAATCTACTAATAAATTTCGACCTCTTTCACTTCCTTTGCATTCAAAAAATGAATCGCAGTCAGCTGGATTTACCATTGTTTGATGCATTTTAAATACATGCAAAGAAACACAAAATGAATGCCTCAATAATGGCATACGTGACTAATCAACAGATGTAGATAGTCAGTACACATATTCGAAACAGCAACTGCATCACTGTGGTGACCACATATAAAAACAGTACTTACTTAAAAAATATGCTTCATATATTTATAAATTTGCCATATACATTTAATAAAGTTTTGTTACGTATTATTTGCATTTGTATAGCATACATGTATTTATTTATTTATAAACCATATATGATGAGTAGATGATAGGATAATGCAGATAGTTTGTCCTCATTTCAGTAGCTGTACAAATTATTTACTTCTGATTTCTATAGTTTTTTTTCATATGTGTTTGTAATCTGATTACACATTAGTTTTCCTTTGATACTGTCTTTAGAAATATCCTTTTTAAAGTGGAGGCACTTCAAAGCAGTAAAATAAATTACTATATTTTTGTGATGTATTTTAAAGTATTAACAGTTGGATAGAAGCAAATCGTGAAATGAAAAAACTTCCAAAACTGCTTTTTTATGGCCTTATGTATTTTATGCATTGTAATTAATGATTTAGTAGTATACAGATGTCATTATTCATTACTAAGTTTCTTCCATTTTAATGTATTGTAATATTTAATATAGATAGACATATAGTAATTTATGATCATTTTCATTTATCATTCCCTTCCCCCAGATATAGTTTTATTTCTGTAAATTAATGCTGTATGAATGCCTTATTTCTATAAATTAATGCTAGTTATTATTGTATATTAATAAAAAATTCAGTTAAATTCTCCATTCTAACTTCATACTTTTGTAACTTCAATTGTTTTCCCAAGTGTATTTACCTAGTCTTTACTTGATGTTCTGTATCTTTTAAATAAAATTATCTTCTGAACAATGTGCAGTAAAACTAAATAATCTAAGTAAAATTTTATGCTGTCATACAATTGTGATGAATTCAAAATTTGCATATAGTCTTCATTTTACTAAATTCAGCAGAAAGGGCATTTATTAGAAGTAATATCAGTTCCAGATATCGGTATTAAATTGACCAGCTGCAGTGAGATAGCTTTCCTGCAAAGCAGATTTAGAGTTGCCAGGAAAAAGCAAGAGAAGGCAGGGTTGCCTGATTTGGCACAAAATCGCCTACATGGCAATAAAATTGGTGATATGCCATAGCCAGAAGTGAGAACATTCTGGAATGAATTCATACCGCTTTGCCCCAGAGTGTTCTCGAAGGCAGGTCAAAAGCTATATAAACCCCACCTGTGCGCAGACTAGTAGTGTATTGTTTTAATTGTAGAGAGTGTGTTGAGCTCCGAGAGTGATTGACCAAGTCGGGAGCTATATTTATGCCGTGAAGCTGTCTTCACTGTTATAGCCTGATAGCCTGTGTTGCTGATTGTTTCAACATGTTTGTCGTAGTTTTTTTTTATGGCTGTAAACGTGTCTTTAGAACTTACCTGTGTAATAATGGTGAATAAATTGTGCTTTAATTCTTCATCAAGTGTTGTCGTCAGTCATTCCAAATCCAAGAACCCGTAGAATACAACAGTATAAAATTTAGTTGCATATATGTTTTGAAGTATTGCTTCATTATTTCTTTCTTAATTTTATTTTAAGATAGCTTTTAATTTTATTTATTATTGTACTTTAATTTATTTGCTTTGCTTTTCAGAGTACCGGAATTCATGGTGATCCTGCTGCAGCTATGTTAGAAGTATTAGATCCTGAACAAAATTGTAATTTTACAGACCAGTATCCTTATAATTCTTTAGTTTTTTTTTTTTTTTTTTTTTTTTTTTTGCATACATAATTTCTATTTTATTTCTTCATTTGTATTCTATTTCTGTTTATATTCTCAAGACAATATAATGTTGCATATAAATAGTTGTACTATATTATTTCTTTAAATATTAGATTTTATGTAATTTTAGTTCCCCCCCCCATTATATATTTTACATAACATAAGGGCACTTTAATAAAAATGAATGTGCTTTTTGAGAATTCTCAAATAGTTTTAATGAAAAGTTTAGATAACAGAATATTAACATGCGTTACAAAATTCAATTTTTTCTGTTATTTCAAAAAACATCTGAGCAGATTCAATAACTTCCAGGAGACAGAAGAAATAAAAGGATTTTTATATTGTTCTCTGTTGCAACAGCTGCACAAAATGTTTCTCTAATTGTTCTGTATTGTCAAAAAAAAAAAAAAAAAAAAAAAAAAAAAAAAAAGGCCAAAAGACTGCAAAATTTTTCCCCAATACTATGAAAAACTGATATTCTTCAGCAGATTGTTTCATATGCAAATTTAAAAATTGTACAAAAGCTGAATTTGAGGAATTATGCTTAAGCTGTTCAGATTGCAGAAATATAATAATTAAAAATTATTTACTTATTTATTTTAATCTTTTATATGAAAATGAACATTATAGTAAGATTTTTCCAAAGTATTAATTAGGCAAACACTATCACAAGAGTAAAAAATAGTTTAGTATTTAAAAATAAGAAGTTAGTACAAAATAAAGCTGTTTAGAACTGGGATATTTTTCACAAGTTATAAAATTATCTTAATTCCAAAAAATTAATGAGAAATAGGGGTATGCATTTTGTCATACGGGAGTCAAACTTTTAGTGTTTAATTTTTCATTTTGATATAAAACTTTTGCTAAATGTAACTATAGTGACTTGTACTCCACCAAAAAAGTAACTTCATAATTCTTAGAAATCTGATTTTTAAAATTTAAAAATGCCAAAAAATGAATATTTGCATTATTTAAAATATTTTTATAATAAGAACTATATGTCTACATTATAATTACATATTGACCTTTTTCAGCATTAAATTAAAAAAAAATTCATAGAGAACAATTTTTTTAAACACAAAATGCAAATTGTAATTAATTATTCATTATTTAATGTTCCAGTAGACTCATCAGGGGGTAATTAATTAAAATGTTAAACAAACTAGGAGTTCTGAATACATGTTATGCCCTTTTTTGACTATTTGAGTGAACATATTTAAAAATTTCACGCAAACATTTTTTACAGAAATTAATCTCCATTTTCGTGCGAGTGTTGTATTTGTGTACGTGAAATTTCATAGATTACCTGGTAAATTTAAAATATAAAACTTTTTGGCATTCTTATGTTAATAAAAAAGTGCAGAATTTAAATTAATGATCATTAGTGTTGTGAAAAAAGTGTGTATGCTGCACTTGAATATTGCAGTATAAATGGAATAATTTACGTTTTATAATTATTATATATTAAATAATTTTCATTATTTAATAGAGATGGGAAATCTGAAACTTCGAATGCCATGAATCTTGCTGTGAATCAAGATTTGTAAAGTGAAATCTACTCTTTTTTATCATTGAATTTTCTTAAAGTGTTATAACTCTTAATTTTCAAAAGCTAAATTTAGTTGGCATTTCACAGAAATGTTAAGAAAAACAGTAAAATTTTTGCAGTTTCTGTGGACTTAAATAATTAATGTCATCTTGAGTTAAAATATGTGCAATATTTGAACTGTTACTCTAATATTTTTATCAGGATTCAAGAATTTTAGTGAGGATCTTTATTTACTAAATTTCATATGTATTATTTTAATAAATGTAAGTTGATTTTAATTTTTTTAATTAAATGCAGATTTGAAATTTTCTTAATGTTACAAATTTTAGTATTTAATTTTTTCCCCCCTCAAAATTCTTATATGAAGATTTTGAGAGATTTGAAAACTATTTTGGGGATTCAATTTCAAAAAGGTTTTTTATTTGTCCCACTTTTATTATTAATTTAATGAAAATAGAAACAGTTTTGGCAGTGAAGTAATTTATGATATAAAGATGGTTAGGTTCTGTTGTCTTCTGCATCTATAAATATATAAATTCTGCATCTATATCTTCTGCATCTATAAATAAATAAACTGTAAATACAGTTTTTATAACTTTTTTTAATATTTGTAAATATGTAACTGAAAAGGGAATTGTTTTTAAGTTATTTGGATATGGTAAAGCGAATGAAGACTATCTGTGGTAAGGCAGAGATGTCTTTATGAAGCGAAATTGGCTCATATTCAAGTTACACATGGGAAACTCAATGGTGCAATAGCCCTAGTGGGCCAAGGCCAGCAGTGCCCCAGAATCTGCTTTCTTGATCATGAGCCTTGAGGTGCATAAGCATATGCCCTGAACAAGTGGTCAGCTTGTTGCAGGTCCCCTAGTGTTTAGTACCCAAGCGAACTTGGTACCCATTTTATCGACCCAAGGGATGAAAGGCACACATTGGAAAACTCAACGAAAAACACCTATAGCCTGTTTGCTTAGGTTGAACCTCCTAGCATTCAGTGGTCTTAATCACTCAACCACTGTAAGGCTGCTGAAAAAGAAATGGAAACTCAAGAGTTTTTCCTCTCATGTTAGATTAATATTTATTTGCATTTGAAATGAGTTAAAATTAGAAAAGTGCATGCTAATTCTCAGTGATATGATCATTATGTGATACTCTTTTATTTATATATACATAGAAAAAGAAATGTAGGCTAATGATTTTTAACGTTGTTATTAAAAATCTTAAATATTTGTAATAATTTTAGTGATGTCTTATTTTTATTATTTTTTAAACAGTTGTTTATTTATATGCTTATAATGAATATCATATGTTAATTTACATAGCAGTTTAATACTATTTTATGAAGTAATAATTTGTTGTTAATGGAGAGTAGTAGCAATTAACTGGAATATTAGTTTATAAAAATAGTAACTGAGAAATACATTACAAAGAATTTTTTTTAAATACTTTCTAATCCTTATCATTTAGCTATAACATAAATTTCCTTACGAATCATTAATTAGCAAAGCAGTTAGATTTCCTTAATTTGTTACAAGCTATCTTAATGTTCCTTTTGATTTATCTCAAGTATTATTTATTGCAACTGCCAATACTGTCACTACTATTCCTCCTGCACTCTTAGATAGAATGGAGGTAAGGTTTTGAATAACTTACTTATGTATTTGTTTTTAAGTATAGATATAATATAAAAGTAAATGAACATTTCTGTAATGTAAGTTCTTTTTATACTTCCTAGATAATAACAGTGCCTGGATACACTCATGAGGAGAAGGAGCATATAGCACGGAATCATCTGGTCCCTAAACAGCTAAAAGAACATGGGCTTACTCCTGATATGCTTCAGATAACAGATGATGCTATACAAACTATTAGTATGTTATATTATTTCTCCTTGTCACTTAAATAATACATTGAAAGGATGTTATTTATTTAAGTTAGCTATAAAATCTTTTCTATTATAAATAAATATGAGCATTATAAATAAATATGAGTTGTTGATGATACAAAAAATCTTTTTTCTTCAGTATTCTAAAAGTTCTTTGCTAGAGTAATTTATTTTAAGTGTTATTTTGTTTGTAATAAATAGTATTTTGGATAAATCTTGTAATGGTATGTACAATAAGTAAAATACATTTTAAATTCTTATATATTGAATGTAAAATTCCTTACTTTATTTCTGTACATTTTGTTTAAAATAAAATTGAACAGTGATGACTGAAATTTCATACTAACATACAAATTGTGAACCCATTCAGTGATGCCTGTGTTTAATACTAACCTACAAATTGCAAACCTATTAATTACTATATGCATATATGTTTTAAATTTTATTTAAATTGTAATATACTCTTCTGAAATTTTGATATTTTTCTTTTCAAACTATTTTACATTAAACCCTTAAATGCAGAAACAAATGCCAGATTTTTTAAAAAATTGCAGCATTTTTTTTAGTTGGGTGTTAATTTCATCTATCTGCAAAGGTGTATTGTTGCAAATTAGCAACATTAAGTGTTATTTTTATTTAAGAGGGACAAAATAGTCATCTTTCATTTGAGGTTTTGCTGTAATCTGGAAACTTCTGATATCAGTGTTTTCATCTGTCTATACTTTTTGGATCACACAATATTAATGTAAAAATTAGAAAAAAAAAATCCAGAATTTTATGTTATGATACTGTGAAAACCTATAAAAATATCTTTTTATGGAGGATTCAAGGATATTTGTTGTATTACTTTTTTATGTTTATTCATCTTTTTTGAAAACACTAATGGAAATCCTAATTTAGAAATCTCTAGTATTTGTTGATGTGAAAATCTTCTGCTCAAATCCTGAAGATAGAATTTGAAGCTTTAAGGTCATGCATTCACATGAGGTTTTGTTTTGTTTTGTTTTGTTTTGCTTGTTTGTTTGGGAGGGGGTAATGATTTAACTGAAAAAAAGTCTCCTATTTGTATCGAGGACAAAGCAATGATCACTGTTATAAATTCATTATTTATATTCCATTTATTGTTAGTGTTTAATAAATGTAAGTATTAATAATTTAGTTTTACTTCAATCCACAGGAATTGATAGATATTACTGTGTTAATTTAATTGTTTCATGAAAGTGCATGCTTTTATTTCTATAATTTAATTCAAAAAATTATATATATATATTATATATTTTTTTTTTTAAGTTTTGAAGTACACTAGGGAAGCTGGTGTTCGAGGATTAGAAAGAAAATTGGGTGCCGTATGTAGAGCAGTTGCAGTTAAAGTTGTTGAGAAGCAAAGGGCAATGCCACCTAAGGAAAGTGTTTTAGTCGATGCTAAAAACAAACAAAACTCTGGAGTTCCAGCTAATTGTGAAAATGTGGCAATGAGCCCTGTTTTTCATCCTCCAGAACTTCCCTTTGTATTAGATAAAGAAGCAGTGATGGACATCTTAGGCGTGAGTTTGAAATTTTATGTGAAAATATATTTAGACTTTAGCTGTAATTTTTTCAAGGGGGAGTCTTGTTAAATGCAATAACTGCCAAAAGTGTGCATTATTTTTCTTATTTTTACCCCTTTTAAAAGCATACATTATGTGATAAACACTGAAGTGATTTTACACTTTAAAAAAATTGCATAAATAAATGTTTTTAATTTACATTTTTTTGTTAGATTTTCAGTTATTTCTGTGTCTTGCTCGAGGGTTTTGCAATCTTTGAGTAATGTACTATGGAAGCAGTGTTGCAGTCAACATTAAACAAAAGTTCAATTGACAAATCAATATATATATATACACACAGAGGAGACAATATATATTTTAAAAGCTGTTGTATTATATCAATGAATAAACTGGATTAAATTTCATAACTTTATGCAGTATTTTAAACCTCTGAAGACTGCATTTATTTATACTGTGCATTTGTTACTACAATTATAAGGGCAGTTTTTATATTATCTGTGCAATAATCTGCATAGATAATCTGGAATTCATTGTATTCATTATAGTTTAATGTAATTAATACTTATTTAATGCTTTTCATTTTATTTCTTCTAAGTTAGAAAATTTTATTGTATTTTTTTTTTTTTTTCCCAAAATGAGGAATTTTATCAGAAAGCCAAATAATAAAATTGTTCCAATATTATTTAAAAATTACTGTGAAGAATATAAATAAATATTGAGGAAATTTCGTAGTTCACCAATTTTTTCCTTATACTTAATTTTACTGTTTTTAATAAATAGTGTATATTTTTTTTCTTCCTTTTTCTATAAAATCTTTTAAATTTTGCAAAAAAGATTCACTAGAAGTTTCTTCTGTTGGTTAAGTTTAGAAAAATCACCTGTCCCTTTGTAATGAGTTGGTCAGTGCATTGAAGTTTGTAAAATGTGTTGGACTTCATGCACTAATCTTTTAAATTTAGTTCATGATTATAGTGCATATTAATCATCAACTTCACATTTAGTGCAGTAAAATTATATGTTATTAGAACATTCTCACATTATGAATAAATGGTATGTGCACGCAAACAGAGAAAAAGCCAGAATTCACCAAAAGAGAGTGAATAGTTGCCAACTTTGGTACCACAACATCAATTCATCACTGATGCAACCATATGTTGTCGCTATGTTTTTAAAACACCTATAAGCCACAACAGTTTTAAGAACAGAGTCCCCCCAGAGATTATAAGTTTGATCTGTATGGGATTTGCCAATAATAAAGGTTAGTAGCTTCTTGCAAGTATATAATATATTGCCAAGTAACTGTCAGTGTTCCAATTTGCCTGAAATGAAGTTTATATGAGTCAGTCGAAGAGCACATGGCAATGTTTGGAAGACATAGAATCAGTAGAAATGCAGTTTGGCAATTGGTTTACAGCATGTAGATTGCCATCAGTTACTACCATCAGATTCATTTATTGTTGGTTTAAGGAAATGAAATCAGTAACATTTTGCATGGAAGAACTCAACATGGCTGTTACTATTGTTATAAAGCGGAACAGTTATTTGAGAGAAATATATATATATGAGATGTAGAGTAATGAAAATAAATGAATAGGTGGTGAAGATTTAATCGTAGAGACTGATGAAAGCTTCTTGTCGAAAAGAAAAAAAATAAGAGCTGTGTTCTGCTGCCTCAGTGGATTTTTGGCAATTGCCAGGAAACTAAAGAAACCTTCCTTATGACAGTGCCCGAGTGAAAAGCCATGACTTTATATGCAATCAAAGGAAATATCAAAAATGGAGCAACCAATTCATTCTGACTCTTGGTGTGCCTATAAAACAAGAATTCTAAAAAGCCTGTTTTAAAATTTTCAAAGTTAGCCACAAATTCAATTTTGTGGCTCTAAAATTTTTATTCGCAAAATATTGAGCAGACATAGGGTTTTTCAAAATGGTGAACGGACCTAGAAATATGACTATACTGCATATGAAGTCATATTGAGTAGAGTTCATGTGGTGGCAGAAAGTTGAAGAACCTTTCAAAAAAAAAAAAAAAAACCCTTTCAAAGCTATTTTAGAAGGGACTGCCAAACACCTGAAGTAAAGAAAAACTAATTTTAGTTAACCAGTCCTTCTCTCTTAACACATAAATACCAATAAATTTGATTCTTGCATTAATGACAAGCAGCACATGTATGGGATATAGTAGCAAAGAGTTCAGTTATTTATTTATATAAAATATATAATATTTTGTAATGTTTGTAATTGAATCAGTTAGTTTTTAACTCTGTGTGTCAGCTTATTATGAATAAATTGTAGTTATTTATTGAATCATGATATATTTGGTGAAAAACCTTAGTATTTCATCTAGTGCTCCTCAAATATGCTTTATGTTTACAATTTAATGACTGTGTATGAGAATGTTTTGTAAGTGGCATATTTTTAACTTTAGTTCTTTCCCCCCTTTTTTTAAAGACTCCTTTATATGACAGTACAGTTATGGGACGTTTGGGTCAACCAGGTGTAGCTGTTGGTCTAGCTTGGACTGCAGCTGGAGGAGAAATAATGTATGTTGAAGCCACAAAAATAGATGGTGATGGACAGCTTATATTAACTGGCCAGCTTGGGAAAGTGATGAAGGAATCAGCACAGTTAGCTTTGAACTTAGTCCGATCCCATATTCATGAGGTAAGAATTTTTTTTAAAACATTTAACTCTTGACCTTATGAACACCATAATCATTAAGTGAAATGTATTCTCTCAACCTTTGGATATAGATATGCATTAGGAAAAAAACTTCAGCTGCTGAGGTGTGGGAGCTGAGGTGTACTTATGTACATTCACAAACTACGATTTATGAACAATTAGTAGTTAAAAAATACTAGCAAGTTCTTCAAAATTACATTACTTACAAGTTTCAAAATCTCTAGAATACATGATGAAAAAACTCTCCTACTTTAATCTTGCATAATCACTAAGCATGAAATAGTGCCCATTCATAATGTTTTTTTATTCTGCACTTACTGTAGTCACACAGTCATTGTGCCATTCTGTACTTTAGTAGAAGTGTTGTTCATGTGGAAGTTATGCAGTTTGCATTGTGAGCATCTATAACTTTGCCCTAAACCTAATCTTTTCTCATGTTTTGTATTGTAAATGAAAAGAGTAGTAGTTTATCATCAATTTATAATAGAAATTAAATTTTGGACATATTAATGTAAATTAAGGGTTTCTGATTAAAAATTCGAAAAGAAAGAAATCTTAATCTCATAATCTTCTAGTTTGAGATTTAAAAAAAAAAAAAAAGTACAAAGTTAAATTCTGATATTAATATAGAATTAGCTGCAGTCAGATTTTTATACTGTTGAATAACAGTAGCAATTAAATTAAAATATTAGAATAAAAAAATGGGGGAGGCTATTATGGTGTATTGTTTGGAAGCGAGCGAACATTTGAAAAATAAATAACTCTGTGTATTTATTTTGAAAAATAAATACACAGAGTTATTTATTTTTCAAAATAATTTAAGTGTTTTTTTAAGTTATTTTCACCTTTAAATTTTCCCATAGATACATAAAATTTTATTTTTCATATATTTGTCTAGTCATTAAATTACTTTCTGAATACATATCAGTATCATAAATAATATCCTTCTATTGTATGTATTCATTATATTAGTAAGAAGTTCGAGATCTAAAATCATTGAGATTTCCCTGGTGATCCGGAAATTTTCAGGTTTTAGATTAGTGTAAATCTAGTAAGATGATCTAGAAATTAAAAAATATTCTTTATTAACATTTCTTAAAAAAAGTATTCTGCATTATTATTTCTGAATTATCACCATATGAAATTAAAATGTAACACAAAGGCGAAATGGCAGCATTTTCTAATAAATCAGATTTTATATTAAAATATTTCTAGAATTCTTCTATGATCTTACTGCTTCATTAACTTTTGAAAAGCTACTTGATATTTGCACTTCAATATGCATAAAATTCCAGAATTTCATTGTCTGAATTTCAAATGCACAGTTTTGGGGAAAGAGTAAAATTAAGAAATTATCATTTGCTCAAACTGTAATTTTAGTGGGATTAATAATGATACATGGAACAAAATAATAAGCTGTTTCAAATCCAGAAAGTTAAGGAAGAGCATTAAATTCCTTGGATTGCTGTTCTTACTCCTTTCCCTGCTGTTATACCAACAAAACAAAACTAGTAAACATGTTCTTTGAACATGCTCATATACTCTGCTATCTCTCTAACCTTGTTTCAATGGTTGCCACTGGACAACCATTGAAACAAGGTTAAAAATCGCTAAAGGGTGGATTTTAGCGATGTTTTCATCAGTTGTTGCAGTTTTTGGCCATTCTGAATGTTCATTGTCACCCAGGCTTGTATGACCACGTTTAAATTCAGCTGCCGAAACATTCACAGTAGTAAATGATGGGGCAGAGTCCCCATACGCTGTGTCCAACACCTGTTTAATCTGTGCAGAAGTATTACCTTTCAAAAAGAAGTATCTAATGACGGCATTATACTCAATTTTTCCAAAAACAGTCACATGAACTCACAAAGGTAATTGTCAAACCGAAAAAATTTGCATTCAAAATAGCTGAAATTTTGATTGGTAGTTATCATGTGATGTTCAAACAAATTCGCCTCACTTTGTTAGATTTGAGCTTCCAATCTACATGTTGAAGTCAGAAACTTTTCAGGCAGCCCTCGTACATGAATTTCAGTTAGTAAGGGAAAAATCACTTTAATCGGAAATTTGATTTTTCTTGAGTATTATATTTCTGCTTTTATAAACTTTGTGAAGAACAAACAAATTTTTTTCCTGGTGGTCTAGATAACTGGACATTCGGATTTTGTACTGCGTATGTATGTAAGTGTATATAAATGTGTTAGTGCACATCCTTTGTTTGTGTGACAAAAACAATCCTTATATGAATAAATGCATTTTTTTTAATAGCTGCTTTAAAAATAATTGCCGACCTTAAAATTAAAGATTCTAGATACAGTGCTCTTCCCCCTAAATTCATCTGCTCTCCCAAGTTCGAGATATTTCCAAGTTACATAACACTGCTTGAAAAAGTTAACTAAAAGTAATATTGACCAATAGAGGCTTGTCTTTGCACTTGCATCTACGTAGTATCAATACTGCTTCGAGCAATCACACCTCCCTTTTTTTTTACCTAGTTTGCGCCCTGCGAACACTTCCACGCTGCTTATGCTTTCCTGCGTGAAGTGACGTTGTTCATTTAAAATCAGTATACATAAAACTTTATTGTAACAATAGTTGAAAAGTAATTTGTCTGCCAAAGAGATGATTTGAAATGTGTAAAAATGAAGATGGTGATTCTTCAGTTCAGTTTTGTTAGCTACTTCATAAGCCTTCACCCTCTACCACTACTATTTTGAAAGCCAAAAATTAAAGTACTGGATTCACGACTATGCACTTAAAATATTACATACTTACACACACACACACTAAAGAGCCAAAACATTATGACCATCTTCTCAATAATATATCACTGTAATGCGTTTCATGACTTTTGGTGCAAAACTGCCAAAACTTGCCTTGGTACGGTTGCTGCAAGTTCTTGGTACATGACTGGAGACAGGTTGTACCATATGTCTAAGCAGCGGTCACACAAAGTCAAGATAATTTGATATGGTGATATTTGAGCTCTGAGTTGCCGCTTCATGGCATCCTAAATGTGCTCTATTGGGTTAAGATCCAGCAAGTTAGGTAGCCAGGACATTAATTGGAATTCATCCTTATGCTCCTTGAACCACTCCCAATGCAGTTCGAGCCTTGTGACATGAGGCATAGTCCTACTGGATGATTCCACTTCTTGGAAGATGGACACCACGTGAGGGTGCAACTGATCTGCAAGTATGTTCAAGTAATTCTCAGCTTTTGTGGTCTGTTCTACCACAACTAAGGGTCCCAGAGATGCCGAGAATGTCCCCTAAAGCATAATACCGCCACCACCAGCCTGTGTATGACTTGCTCTACGTGGCAGAGGAGCAATTGTTTCGCCTGGAAGGCAGCATATGCTGACACAACCATCAACGTGATGAATGAGAAATTGTGATTGATCTGACCAGATAACTGTCTTCCACTTATCCGTAGTCTAGTCTCCATGTTTCCAGGCACACTGTAGGCACAGTGTACTGTGCAACATAGGCATGCGAGTGGGATGTTTGCTGCACAGTTCCATATGCAAAGTGCCCACCAGCGGGTGAGCGGTAAAGTCGCTGAACACTGGTAGTTCGGTCCCGAGATTCGAATCCCACGAACGGGTTGGCTGCATGGGCGTTTTTGTGGATTTCCCCATGTGTAACATGTATACGAGCCAGTTTCCCTTATAAAGTCGTCCACGAAGGCATCCCTTCCCTTAGGCAGATAGCCCTAGTGTGCTTTGCCATAATTAAATACACCACCACCTCCATATACAAAGTGTCCGATGAATTGTGTGTTCCAAAACACTTGCACTTGGACCTGCATTGTATTGGGCTGTCAGCTGAGACACTGTCTGGCACTGATTTTGCTGTACTAAGCGGGTCCACTCTTCGACATCATTTTTCTTTGATGATGCATGGATGTTGATGGCGTCTTTCATCATCATTTATCCACTTTGCATAAATACTAACAAATGGCAGATCATGAGCAGACTACCAGTTATGCAGTTTTGGAGATCCTCATTCCGAGTCTTCGGGCTATTGTTGTATCAGACCATTACTCTCTCTTGCCCTCTATCAAGTTCACTGAGATCAGCAGCCATTCCCATCACTTGCAAAAATAAGTGCCAGAATGATTCCTTACCTTCTGCAGCAACAGCTAAATACCATTTCCACTTACTCACATGCCTTCCACATCATGAGGGCCCACCAGCTGCCGAGTGCTAAAGACGCTGAACACTGGTAGTTCGGTCCGAGGTTCGAATCCCGCGAACGTGCTGGCTGCATGGGCGTTTTCGTAGTTTTCTCCATGTGTAACGTGTATACAAGCCAGTTTCCCTTAGAAAGTCCTCCACGGAGGCATCCCTCTCTTCAGGCAGATAGCCCTCGTGTGCTTTGCCATAATTGAATAATTCAATTCAATCCATGCCATGAGACAAGTACTTTGAAAACTGTAATCTTTTGGCTTGTCAGTGTATGTATAATTTTTTAACAGAAAATTGTTCTTAATTTCTTTTAACTGCATGGAAAAATTGGAACCTTGAAATTAATTTGTATATTTTCATCCATTATGTGTTTTGAATGAGAATTTTTTTAATTTATTAGATAATAGATTATATATTTATTGTTAATAATTATATGTTTGTCATTATCTGTTATTATATGTTTATTGTCATTATTTTAATTACCACCTTTTGTTTTATTATTTAAAATTTTAAGTTTCAAAATTTTTTATTTTGCAGTATGGTATAAAAATACCCCAAGGTGCAGACTTAATGGAAGGTACTGACATCCACATACATTTCCCTGCTGGTGCAGTGGGAAAGGATGGTCCATCGGCTGGAGTTACCATTGTTACTGTACTTGTGTCCCTATTTACTGGGCGAATTGTGAGATCTGATGTTGCAATGACTGGGGAAATCACCCTGCGTGGTTTAGTATTACCAGTAAGTCTTAATGATATATAGTATATATGAGTATGACTATACTTTTTACAGGTAAGTTTTTCGGTGCAGAAGTGTAGTAAATTGAGCTGAATGTCATAATGTAGAATTTAAAATAATTATTAACCTCTCTTGATAAGTGAGGGTTTTCCGTTACTCAATTTTTCCTCCGTTGCTCAAATCAATACCTTTTCCTTTCACCTAGAAACTGATATATATATATATATATATATATATATATATATATGCTGCACATTTAATCTGTAATATTCATAAAAAAACTCACATATCTCATTTTTGATATCTATTACAGAAGCAAGCACCAATAATGATAATAAATCACATACTATCATATTACATCAATATTGTGTATTTTTATTACTTATATTCAATATTTTTTCCTAATTTATACTCTGTGTCTTCTGTGCAATGGTCATATGTAATTGGAGACAAGTTTTTCATATTCAAGCTTTGTATTATATGTGTGTATTAATAATTTTTAGTGCTATGAACTATCCTAAACAGAATTACACACATCTCAAGGAAGAAATTTGATGTTGCAAAAATTATTAACATGCTACTACTGCTTGATGATGTCACACGTTCCCATATAAATTTTACTGAAAAAAGAAACAGCACACATAGATGTTAACAGCCCTTTTCATTTAACATTTCAGTGCTTTCAACTTTATTTTCTAGGTCTGATTTTTTAAAAAATTTATTTTCTTTTATTTATTTTTTGCTTTGCTTTGCTGTAAGGTTTCATTGGTACAACTGGCCAGTCTCTCCCATGTTCCTAGGAATCAGTATTGTTGTCAACAATAAATATTTTTCTTATGGTTTGATCCAAGATAGGGAGTGTAATTATAAATTATCTAGGCCAATTATTGAAATACTCTTACATTTTGTATTTAGAGCAGTATGAACTTCATCCAGCACATTAAAAAACACAGTATTCTCCTTTTTTAACAGGTTCAAAATTCTCTTAGTATTAAAAAGTGTTTTTATGCATCTTAATTTTAAGAACATTTAATAATATTTTTTTATTAAGCTTTCAATATTTAAATAACTAATATTCAAAAACTGATAAAAATCAGTTTTTGAATACAGTCAAAAGTCGTTAATCCGGACCTCAAAGCTACAAACTTTCTGCGCATGCGTCGCGTTCACGCATGCGCACAGGCGTTTACGAGAGCGCGTAAGACCCTTACGGCTGCGAATATGTTTGTGCGCATGCGCGTTTAATGTGTAACGGAGTTATACACTAAGCTAAAGTTATCTAATTCAGTTAATGTTGCTGATTGCGTTGTTCCTTAATCTTCGAATTGGATCCGGCTTATTATTTTTTGCAGACTGTTAGAGCAATTTTATAAAAGTAAGCTTGAACTTTCGACTATGACAAATAGAATTTTCGATATATTTTACTACAAAGCGAAAGTATGTTTTGAAATCCGAAATCTGTTTATCAATTCACGCTGCTCTGCGGCAGAGGGGGGGGGGGGGGCAGAAATGTCATTATTAGATTATGATAGATTAGAAAGATTATGTCAAATAGAATTTCCGATATATATTTACTATCCCGATTTCCGATAATTTGTATCTACAAAGCGAAAGTATGTTTTGAAATCCGAAATCTGTTTATCAATTTCACACTGCCGATTGGAAGTTGATCTGTCAGCACTATCCTTATCTTCAGGGCAGATGTTTTTATTTTATTTGGTTTATAATTCCGTACTAAGTGTAGTATTTCATCTCGATATACTCCGTCTTTGATATGATTTAAATCAAGTTCCTCATCATTATAATTCACTTCCGATATTGAAGAAAGTGACCCAGAGGTTATTGAAAACGAAAACATTTCGATTGACAAATTAGTCCGTATTCTCAACACAGCAATTATAGGACTTGAACAGCGGAACTTTGTAACTAAACAAGAAATTATGTCTGTTTAATAGAATTAAAAAGAAAGTATTATCACATGAAACGAAGCAACTTACATTGAAAGGAAATGTTTAATAAGTAAACAAATAAATATTAAGCTTTTTTTTTTGTAAATTTTGATACCCTTTAGATCATAATTGTTCTTTATTTCATAAATTACGGTTTCATATTTTTAATTTTGTAATTTCTGCATGCCATCTTACGAGATTTAAACTGATGATCTATAATCCGGAAAAATCGATAATCCGGAATCGCCAAAGTCCCGACGAGTCCGGATTAACGACTTTTGACTGTATTGGTTATTTATTTTTTGATGGAATTCCATTTTGGGGCATACTTAGTTTACAAACTGAAAATATTACTTTTTTAAACTAATTTTGAAAGCTATATTAAGTTTTAAATACCAGTGAAAGTAAGGAAAAGCAGTGGTTATCTATTATATGTGTTAATATATATGTGTGTATATATATATTATTTATTTAAGCTCACATTATTTTTGACATGCTTTTAAATTAAACAACAAAACATATGGGAAATATTGATAAACACCCAAAATTTGAATAAAACTAGTTTTTTATATTTATAAACTATAACTAAATACTTAACACCTAAATAAAAGATTGACTGCATTCCTTCCTTAAACTGTGAACCTTAAACTGAGAACCCATACAATAGAGAAATTGCATAAAATGTCATCAACATGTTGCACGGTGTTGCTGATTATTTCCAACCTCTAAAATACTGTTTCACACTACTGTTGCAGTTTTTGAAATTATTTGGAGAAGTTTGAAAATCACATAATAAAATCGTATTCATTACATAATTAAGTAATTGTGAAATTTTATATCTAGTATCAATATAAATTAAATTAATTTTTGTTTATAATTCAGGGTTTGTATAATCCTCAAAGGTATTTACAAGTCCATAGGTTTTTTGGAAACTATTTTTGAGATCATGGGCTCATCAATTTCAAATTCTTGTATATAAAATATTAATTTTAGAGGGTCTTAAAATGAATGTCTTTGCAAATGCCTTTCCACATAATTATAGGTATTCACCATAGTCATTTAAATATGAAAAATCTAGTATTGAACACATTAAATAATATGTTCTTGTTAAACATCATTAATGAGGGAAAATAATGCAAGTCTATTCATGTTCCTCTTTTTTTTTTTTTTTTTTTATTAAATAATAATTGTTAAAATTTTCTGCCAATTAACATGTCTTTATCTACAAGAGACTACAGATTAAAATATTTTTAGTTACAGATCACAAATTTAACTGTTTTTTTTGCTTAAAAGGTCCTTAGTCGAAATCCAAATTGGCAAAAAGTCCTTAATTTTACTCGTCTGACATTTCTGTCTCCTTTACATAAGTACCATTTTGAGTAAGAATTAATAATTTGGAGAAATACTTTTTGATTTATTGACAAATATGTATTTTCTGGATTATCATTTGAATTCTTTCCTGCTTCTTAACATGACATGGGGGGGGGCAAAAGGGCCTACCTCAATTGGAACATAACATTTTGAAATTATTTCCTTTTTAAGAATGAAGTGTTCATAAAATATTACATCAAAAATATCCTTTCCCTTTTTGAGATATGATTTCATTTCTCGTTTATTAGACAGGGTTCGTAGCGGTCCTTACAAGTGCTTATAAGTCCTTATATTTGAAAATAAAATATAAAGGCCCTTATAGGTGCTTACTTTTTCTTTAAAGCCTTTATTTTTTTGTTTTTAGTGCTTATTTTTTGCTTTTAGTGCTTTTTTTTTAATCCTTTGTTTTTAATGAACCCGCATTTTTTCCCGTACCAAAGCCGAAACTAAATAAACAACTTTTCTTTCTTATATGCAACGTCAGATGGTGAATCATACTCCCAAAAATTGCTTTCCCCCCTTCCTCTGCATTAAGGTAACCTATGGTGTGTGCGAGAGTACAGACAGGTGCACATCGTTCTATTGGCCAAAGAATTGTGAAAACATAGAAAATTTCGGTATATTCGGTATTCTTTTCCTCCCACCCAAATACTACACACATTTGAATTTCTATCAAGATTTTAATAATTTGCATTTTCGTTCCGTGTGGTCAGTTCATATTCGTGTTTATTATGATTGTTATGCTTATATTATGCACATACGTATGAATATTTATAATAGTATAGTTGCAGTAACTGCTGAAGTATAGATAAACTTCCAAAAATGGGTGTGTTTTTACACAGATTAGCTTTCTAAGGAATAATATTCGGAATGGCTTAAATAAAAGGAAAGTAATTGAATAGCCAAAATAATTTCATTTTCTTTGCCAATACATTATACAGTACGGAGGTTGAGAGTTTCTCCGCAAAATCTCTTAATATTGAAGCAGCAGACCTTTTTTTTGTCACTGTCCAATCTGGATTGAATAGGACTAAAAGTTTTTGCGGTCTACCCAACCCAAGCCAAGCGAAGATTGATTCTATTCCGGAAATTTAATACAGTCTGTTGAAAATTAGAATCAGAAGCACCCCAGAGTAGTAAGTCTCTTTCTTTTCCTTTATTTAGTTCTTTTTTCTTCGAATACCGGCAGGTGTTGATTCCGATTGCATAATATCACATATGGAAGAATTACGCCGTGCACGTATTGCGCAATAACGTTTGCGGTATTTTGCATTCATAATTAATTTTGATGTTCAGTCTGAGATTTGTTTATGCACACTTAAGAGTTTTACTGTGCTTTCTAAGCAGAATATTTCTCAGTTCCGTTGGTTTTTATATGATGTGCATATCAAAATGTCAAAATCATTTATTTAGCCTAAATTTAAACCTAAAGAACAGCTACAATCTCCCCCATCCTCTTTTCCAGTACTATCCGGATATTCGGGAATTTCGAGTATGCGGGGTTAAGCTTTTACTGTTAGAGGATGACTGATGAAGCAATTTCCTGTCTTCTGACTCCTCTTTATTACTTAAAGTACTTTGCTTGGGATATATGTTAAGGGAAAACTGTTATGCGATGAAAATTTAGAAAATGTTCAGAATTTGATTTTAAATTATTTAAGTATAATATGAGTGGAAAAATAAATTGTTTAATTAGGTGCCAACGAATACAATTAATATGGCTTATTATTATTTATTCTATTTCAACTGAAATATCATCATTAAATTTGTAATATAGTTTAGTTCTGCATAGTTTTTTTCTCTCATTGTAAACTAATTCTGTAAAGAACTGTCATTTAAAATTAAAAAAAAAAAAAAAAAAGTTAATTGTTTTCCATGGTTGAGGTAATGTCATTCTCTTAATAATTGCATTGCTAATATTTAAATATAAGTCTAATTTTCTTTTAAGGTTTGCAGTTGTGTATAATGTAATTAGACAGGTGCTTATTTTTTCCTTAAAATGTGCTTGAAAAGTGCTTATAGGTGCTCATATTTTTAACTAAAATGTGGCTATGAACCCTGTTAGGTATGGTTTTGTTTATTATTACAGTCAAAAGTCATTAATTCGGACACCCATAATCCAGACCTCAGCTACAAGCTTTCAGCGCATGCGTCGCTTTGCAACGGCACGCAATGAATTGGAAGTTGAGCTGTCAGCACTATCCTTATCTTCAGGGCAGATGTTTTCATTTTATTTGGCTTATAATTTCTTACTAAATGTAGTATTTCACCTCGATGTATTCCATCTTTGATATGATTTAAATCAAATTCCTGGTCATTATAATTTGTTTCCGATAGTGAAGAAAGTGACACAGAGTATAGAAAACAAAATTCGATTGAAATTAGTCGGTATTCTCGACCAGCAATTGTAGGACTTGAATAGCGGAACTTTGTAACTGAACAGAGAAATTATGTCGTTTATAGAATTAAAGAGAAAGTATTATCATATAAAACGAAGCAACTTAAACAACTGCATTGAAAGAAATGTTAATAAAGTAAACAAATAACTATTAAGCTTTCTTTTGTAATTTTGATACCCTTTAGATCTAATGTTCTTTTTTTAAAATTACGGTTTCATATTTTTAATTATAATTTCCATGCATCTTACAGATTTAAAATGATCTATAATCCGGAATTGCTGAGTACCGACAGTCCGGATTAACAACTTTTTGACTGTAACTTAATTTGGCAATTTATCAATATTTTGGGCAAAATCTAGATATTTGGCAAATTTTTCGACCTTTTCTGTTTTTTAACAAACGTAATTAAATTAATAAATATAATTAAAAAATAATGTATTAAATTGTAATTAAGAAATAGTATTAAAATAAAATATTTTAATTTTCTCATGTCATATTTTAAAAATAATATTACTTTCCATTTTTTAAAACTTGGAAATATTTTGATTCTGAAAAATAAGAAAGTGCTATGAAGCATCGTTTCCAAAGCACATCTTAGCAAAAGCTACTTAAAAGTTTAATTTAAAAATTATTTAAAGTTAATTTCATTTTATTTATGTATTTATTTTTCATTAGAGCCCCCCCCCCCATATATCAGTTTTCTCTTAAAAATTTACTTTACACTTTTTTCTGAAACATTTTTATTCAAAAATCTTCTGACTTTTTGCTCTTACAGAGTTGGCAGAGAGGCCCTGGGTTTCCCAGAGTACATAAATTTCCATACTGAAATCCTATCTTGCTGATGACACAGCGATCCTCACACAAAGTGCATCTCTTTAGCACAGCTAGCCAGCAGTTACAAATGCACATTCAGGCACTAGAGTCCTGCCTTAAAGCTTGGAAGATACTAACCATTATAGAAAAACCTGGAGCAACTGTCCTCACATTCAAAAGGAATATTAAATGCACAACATAATTATTTCCTGGTTCAAGCAAGTCATTATTTTGGCATTATTTTAAATAATCATCTCATATGAAAGTCCCATATTAAACATATGATCTTAGAGCTTTGAGCCAGTAAAACTCAACTTACCCCCTTAATTGTTCGAAAAGCGTTTTAGCTTCTGATCACAAATTACTCGTTTGTAAGACCATGTTGCGACCCATAAAGTATAATATCAATAAAGACCCATAATGTATAATGACAGATCTAATAGAAGAAGACACAGAGCAGTTCGCAGTACTTACTAAATTAATTAAAATCTTATCTCCATTATTCAGCTAAATTTATGTTACTCCCACCATGGTCCAGATGCACCTAATTTTTATTCTTCTGTCATTGTATTTATTATTTACTTAAAATTACGTACCTTGTTCTTAAATTTTACCTATTTGTACACTTCTCTCTCCCCACTTTTTTGGCATTTCTGCTAATCATTCATGTGACAATGAAAAGAGTCTCCTACCCTCTACTTGCACGTATCTTAACTCACACTTATTCCAGCCAATCAGCTTATGTCCTGACCAAAGCCTCCTGCTTGGCCAATAGGAAAGCCCCTTCTACTGACTCTATCCCCACTCCCAGCCTCTCCTCAGACGAACTACGACCTTCATTGCTAAAGCACCACGCAACACCATCCTCTCTGCTGATCTGCATTTACTGCCTGATGATCATCTGAAATGCAAGTAACTGCCTTCTGCAACCTCCTTTTCTCATCCATTTTGTTCAAAGACATATGATAGCAGGAAGAATTTTTAGACCTTTGACCTCGGAAGATTTAGAGGGATTTGAAAGCAAGATTTATAGACCTTTAATTCCAGAAAATGTGGCCAAATGAAAGATTTTTTCATAACATTAATACATAATGAATGTGTGCTTTAAGAAATTTGTGATGAATTTGTTATTTTATGGAAAATTTTTGGAAGAACAGTGAAAACAGAGTTATTTCAATTTTCTGCTTTTGATCCTAGAAGTCTTCTTCTTTTAGCATGTTTAATCTTCCCTTTATTTCCCCATCTTTTCACTGCACACAAGTATGGATAATTGCAAAAATAGTTCTAATCTTGTTACGTGGATAGGTATCTGTAGAAATGAATTTGTCTATTAATGGAAAGAAAAATAAAAGAAAGAAAATGGCAGTTTAAAAGATTCATCTGTGTTTTACTGAGATAGGTTTTACTGCACCCATAGAGATTGCTACATTTGAGCATTTTGTCCCTGTAATCTCTATGGGTCAGATATTTTGCTACCCAGTGTCTGTCCTAAATTCTAAAAATTTTGCCATTTCTAAATTTTGTCACTTATTGTTTCACTAACTACTAAAAGTTCCTCTACTCCAGCTCTAGTGCCGTAACTGACCTTCTATCATTTCAGATATATTCTCAATACTCGTATTGTTAAAGAAATAAAATTAGCTCTGTACATTCTTACACGTAGTTCTTTAGAATAACAGAAATCTTCAGTTAAATCTGAAATTCTAAAGGAGGAAACATACTGACTGAGAAGGAAATTGATTACGTGAAGAGAAAGAAAAGTATTCTTCAAAGGTATATTGTTAAAACCAGAACAAATTAGGGAATGAAGCAGAGACTAGTGGGAAAATTGATTTGTTTACCAAAACAAAACAAATGTTAAACAGAAGGAAACTGGTGTAAATTAGGTAAAATATTTTGAAAATTTTCAAATTAAAAAGATGCATAAATATTTTGTTGTATGTTGTTGCTACGAAACATACATGTTTTGTAGGGTTGGCTGGTCCCCCCCCCCATGTGTGTAATTATCCTAATATCATTTTAGAATCAATATCATAAATTATATTCAGAATTATCTGTATTTTAAACTGTAAAATTTTCTTCAAGATTATGATTTGAGAAGTGTTTCGTAACAAATATTTTTTAGGGAAAAAAAAAAAAAAAATAGTTGCCATGTAAATCTAGAATGCTTCTTATGTATAGAAAGATACTTGTAACTAATTGCTCATCCTTGGAATTTATCTCTGTGTTAAGGTGAGTCACAACATAAAAGTTTATTCCACACAGCTAATGATAGTTTGGCAGCTTACTATATGTTAAACTGGATTATAACTCCAGCAACTCTGCACGAACCTATGATACTAACGTGGTCAGACATGCAAAGTGCAGTTAATTTTCAACACTTTACCAATCTTGTTAATATTGGGTATTCATATCTGTTCTTATCGGCATCTCTCTCTCTTAGCAAGCAGCAGTAGTGGCAATAGCCAAACTTCTGTTGCAAGTCATGCTGGTTATGATATTTATCATTTACACCTATACCCTTTGGTAAAATATTTGCATAAACCTCTGGACTGAGCAAATATTTGACGAAACAAGGCATAAAAGAAAGAATCAACGTAAAGTTGTTAGTAAAACCTAAATGTCACTAATCTTTTTTTTTTTTTTTTTAAATATATGAGACTATTGTAAATGTAAAACAAAAATAATACAAGTGTAAATTTCGTAGCAATTTTATAATTTAATAGTAAGGGCCTGATAAATTTTACAAAGTTGGTTTTATTCTCGAATTTATTTTATTGGTAAGTTAAGTATTAGATTATGATTAATAATATGTATCCTACTTACAGATTTATTTTATTCTTAAAATGCTATTGCAAAAGTGAAGTTCGAATGTAGATAATTTCTTTAATGTATTCAATTCCCTTTCCTGATAGGTCCTTAATTTTTTTCATTATGTTCCTTAAAACTATCAAATATTAATTGCAACGTGCAGAAACATGTACGAACTCAGTAGACACATTTTTAGTATTTTATTTTCCAATTGTGTACTACTAATAGGCACATTTCATAATGTCATCAATTGATTTATCACTATACTTGGTAAGCTAATGATATTACCATATTTTGTGTGATTGCAGGTTGGTGGCGTGAAGGAAAAAGTTCTTGCTGCCCACAGAGCTGGCATGAGAAGTTGTATATTGCCTAGTCGGAATGAGAAAGACTTAGTTGAAGTTCCTCAGTCTGTAAAGGTCAGTATTATTTTCAAACTTGATATAAGGGGGTGGGAAAGAAAAAGATGTCTTTGTTTCTATTCATTAGTATTTAAATCTAAGATGAGTATTTTATCTCCTGCCCGGTCACTAAATTGTTTGTAATAAATTGGGCATTCTTAAAAAAATGAATAAATTTATTTTGAAAATATTGATCACATTTTATTGCATTTTCCAGTAAGATATGTTTAAGAGCATATTTGATACATTTAAAATTTTAGATGTGTGTTCATCAATTTTAATAAGCTGATTGCAAATTGCTCATATGTTTTATTTTTCACTTAACTACCAATGTATTTTAATATGCTGTGCAGAATACATGCAAGCTTTAAGTTTATATAATACTAATCTGCATGAATATGCTGATAAAAAGAATTGGAAAAATATTTAATTAAAATGCATTTTGGTTCAGTGAGATAGTTGAATAATGGAAAGAATAATCTTTGACACCTAATATTATGAGCATAAATTACTTATAATACTTGATAGTGAAGTGTGTTTATTAAAAGATTAAAATTAAGATGTGTCTGGGTAAGAAACTGGGAAGAAGCCCACCCACCTGGCATTGCTGCCATATGGTTAAAAGGACTTCTCCCATCAAACCACAAATGAGGGCAGCCAGCGACCCAGCCGTGCTCAAAATCAAAATCTTTAATAACACACTGAGAAACCAAAGGATGGAGCTGAGTAACTAAAAAGTTAAAAAAAAATGTGTGTCTGGGTAGATTAGGTTATTGGAATACGACAAAACACACAAGGGCTGTCTGCTTAAGATGAGGGATGCTTTCTTGGAGGTCATAGACAACTGGCTTATATTCATGTTACATATGGATAAAACCATGAAAACAACCATGTAGCCAGCTTGCCTACCTGTGATCAAACACAGGCCCAAAGTGCTTGTATTCAGCAGTCTTAAACACTTGGCTGTTGGTGAGGCTTAGTCTGTTTAATTAATTTTTAAATGAAGAGCTATATGTATTTGAAAAGACAATTTGATATAAATTCATCATCATTAGGAACATTGTACTCAGAGTTTACAGCAATATAACTGCACTTTTTTTTAAAAAAAAAATAAAACTCGCATGATTTTTTTACCACTTGCAAAGCTTATATTGTAATGCATGTGTATATAAGTATATATATATTTTAATGTATTGAATTGATTTTTCTCATACAGAATGACATGAACTTCCATTTGTGCTCACATATTAATGAAGTCTTGCAAGCAGCATTTGAAGGTGGTTTTGATATTAAACCCAAGGAAGAACAGCAGCATATAAAGAGTAAACTCTGAAACAGAATTACTGTGATATTACTACAGAATCTGTTTATTTTGAATGCAAGATATGTGTATCTGTATATGAAGAATATACAGATAATTAAGAGATGCTACTTTTTTACCTGTTTTTCATATCAATGCTTATGCAATTTATATACACAACTTATCAAAGTGTGTATAGCTGTTAAATTTCTAACCTTACTTTTCATTTTTTAAATTAAGTAAAAAAATTTGTAAATTTCATTTAACATTTTTGTGCAATATTCAAGAATATGTTCATTTTCTTACGACTTTGTATAAACTGTAACAAAATGTGTATTTTGTAAATAAAAAGAGAGTATTTTTTTAATGTTCGTGTATGCTTATATTAGAAACTATAATTTTGTTTTGAATTTCCATCCCTAGCAGTTAACATCTTTAGCAGCATAACAGATGAGATTATTGAAATCAAACTTTACTGAAAATTCTGTTTGGGTCATGCACACATTTCTTTTCATGTGTTTTGTATTATTCCATAACAGACAGTTGTATATGGATTATTCTGCAACAGATATTTGAATATGGATTGACAAACTGTCACTGATGTGTTACCAGTGGAACTTTTATATGTTCTGTTATGTGATTTGGGGAAGAGGCAGAATGTGAAACAGATAAAATTCTTATCCTGAATGGTAAATTTATATTCAGTATTACACTGTGGTGTCCTGTTAAATAGAATATACAAGTCCAGTTCAAAATAAACTTGATTTACCTTTTACACCTGATCATAATGAAAGTTTTCCACCAAAAAACGTTCTTAATAAAGTTAGGAAAAAAAAAAAAAAAAAAAAAAAAAAAAAAAACAAAGCAGTAGCTTTAGTACAGGTAGTAATCACCACCTAAATCTATGATTTTCTGCCAACGTTTGGGTAGTTTTTTAAAGCCTTCGGCCCAGAAACTTGGTGGCCGCGAGTCCAAAAACAAACCAACCTCATTTCAAACATCCTGTGCAGAAAAGGAAGAAAGCACCAGCCAGATGTAGCTTCAGGTGTGTAAAAAGGTAGAAGTCCGAAGGAGCGATGTCGGGGCTACGTGGTGGGTGTGGCAAAAGATCCTATTCGAGTCCATACATAGTCCAGCCGGTGAATGCAGACACATGCGATCTTGCATTATCTTGATGAAACATTACCCTTTTTGCACCAGAATTCGGTTCAGCATTTTCCTTGACAGCAGAGTTAACATGCTCTAGCATCTTGCTGTCAAGGGTTTTACCTTTTTCCAGATACTCTTTGTGGATAATACCATGGCAATCCCACCAGATTCAAAGCATGATCTTTTTTTAGCCAAATTGTGCTTTGCGATGCTGCCGACGGGTTCACTGGGCACAGGCCAACCCCCTTTTTGGGTTGTGTTGTTAAAGTGAATCCCCTTTTCATCGCAAGTGATGATTTGATCCAGAATTTTTCCTTGCATTGATATTTAAGCAGATTAGTGCAGGTTCGAATACGTCTCTCCTTATCTGCTTGCGCTAGCTCATTTGGCACCCAGCGATTGAACTTGTACACCAAGTTTATGCAATGCATGGTGCGACTAATGGACATGGTACTAATATCTAACTCTTTAGCAAGATCTCGAATGGTTGTGAATTGATCTTTCACAAGTTCTCGCAGACGGACCCCATCAACATCAGTAGGTCGACCAGAGGGCTCTGCTTCTTGAATGTCATAGTCCTTGTTTTTGAACTTTCGACATCAAACCTTCACAGCATCATATGATACAACATTAGATCCTAAAGCTGCACATAAGATTTGGTGACATTCTGTGACTTTTTACAACAGAACTGGAAGTAAATGATGGTTCAAATGTGGTATTGATAGTTCTACTTGACACTTCAGTACTTAAAAACAATATTTTTTTTTACAAATTTCACAATACTGTGTTCTAGAGCAAGTCTCTTTCTTTCAAATGCCAGAAACTATTTGACAAAATATGCCAATGTGAACTGTTTGCACAGACGATATTTGCGGTTGTGGGAAACTTTTGTTAAAACCCTATATTTTACGTAGGCTCTTTTTGTTTCAACCTTCAATGGGCTATAACGAAAAGACGGGTGAATATACAAAAAAGGTTTTATCATTAAAAGTAATATACAATACAGGTTATTTCTCTACATAATCACCTTGACGACTGAGGCATTTGTAATATCTACGAACAAGCTGTGCAGTACCCTCTTCATAAAATGTTCCCGCCAATGATTGGAAGCGAGTTGTGATGCTTTCTTTGAGCTCCATGTCATTTTAAAAGCACTGTCTCTCAACTCATCAAATAGTCTCTAGCAACCACTACCTATTTAACTGGGTTGGGATATTCCAAATGAATATCAAAACTTCATAATATTCAAAAATAATTTCTGGCATCTGAATTCAGTGATCACTAGAATTTTACTTGAATGAAGGCATAAATATAAATATTGGGCATTATCAGAACAAGATTTTTTTCCCAGCTTCAAACTTAGTTCATTTTAATTATGATATTAAGGCTTCTCAATCAATATCTTAAGCTTAAAAAATATGGTACTTCAATGATTTTTCTTGCATATTTTTATATACATGAAACAATTTTGTTTTTAGAATGTCAGAATTTCTCATTTAAGTACTTAACAAATTATTATATAAATAAACCATAAAAGAACAAATGCATTCTCATAATTCTTCCTTTCTTTAATATCTATATAAGTAAATTGTAAAAATATTGATTCAAAGCAAATAAAGTTGAACTATATCAAATAAAGAATTTTTAATACTTGTACATCACAGGAATATTTATTGCTTATGTACATGAATCAAACATTTTCTAATAAAATATTTATAAAGAAACAAGAAATGAAGATAATTTTTTTCTTTTGTTTTCATTTGCTTTTTCTTCGCATACCCTGGCTAATAATGATTTCTTTAATTTTTTACGTGAAGTGCTCTTATCGGCATTTGTAGAATTGGATAAATTAATAACTGAAGATCTGTTAACAGATGTTGGTGTTTTACTTATTCTGTTTTTGCTTGAAATACTAGATGCTGGTGTTTCATTCATTCCACTTTTGACTGAAGTATCAGCCAAATATGTTACCAAACTCCTATTCAAATCCACACTAGACACATTCCCTATTAACTTGCTGATAGTAATATCACTGTTAGCTGAAAAGTCTGATGACAGTCGTAATTTTGGGGAAACACAATCTTCTTGAATTTTTCTAGAAAAAAAATATTTTACTTTACTTACAGTAAACAAGCATACTTGATAATAAAAAAATATGTTATTTTTTAAATAGACAAACTGCAAAATTTGGCAGAAATTAAGTCTATCATAGATTTTAAACAAACTATCAATACTGAGGATGACTAACATGGGTTCTTTTTCAAAAGCAAAATATTTTCTCTATTTAACCCTTAACTTCCCACTGTTGCATTTCTGCAACATATGATTTTTTTTAATTTAACAGACTCAATATTTTTTTTTAATTACCTACAAATCACTTATCTGAGAAAAAAAGGTTACTGCAATGAAATACATGCTAAATTGTCACTAGATAGCAAGCACATTTTTTCCCCAGAAATCATAACAATTATAAAAATCTCTGATGCCTCAAGAACTGTGTTTTTGCTATAAAAGAGAATCCATTATATTTTATGCTTCCCTCTTGTTTATTGACGTAATAACAATTACCAGGTAAGAAATTTAAACATTTTACGTTCATTTAAAAAGTAAGGTTTGATTTTCTAATGGAAAAAAGTTTGAAAAAGAAATTTGATTTTAATTATATGTTGCAGGTTCTGCAACATTGGTCTTTGGTTACCATTTTGACATGGCCAAAAAGCGTATACTAACCCAAGATGAAATTGCTAGATATATGAATAATTTTGGAAAAATTAAGTGATTTAAGTGAGGATGCTCTTGAATATTCTGCTGATGATGTTCATTTTTTACCTGATTGTGTGTCATTTAATGATGATGATTCGGATAGCGACTGTGAAAATAGTGTTGTTTCACAAAATACAATTCAGAATTTGAAAAACATCCGATGATGATGATAATAAATTTGATAGAAATATTTCAGTCAGTGAGTGTGTGTATGATTATGGCAAAACCTCGAGAGCTATCTGTTCCTACGGGAATGGATGCCTTTGTGGAGGATTTTCTAAGGGAAACTGGCTTGTATACAAGTTACACATGGGGAAAACCACGAAAACTATTTACCAGTGTTCAGCGACTTTACCGCTCGGCCGCTGGTATATTTCAGTCAGAGAACCTTTTTTAAATTTAACTGTTAAGAATAATAAAACATTGTCAAAGAATATTTTATGGAAAAATCAAAAACATTTCATTGACTGAAGAAGTAATAAAATTCCATGGAGATGACACACTCCCAAGAGAAATTACGGATTTGGACACTACGTACCAATTTTTTAAATATTTATGGACGGAAGAGATAAGAAACATTTATGAAGATAGCAAACGATATGCTATTCAAAAGAATCCAAGTAAGCCTTTAACTATATCAGAGATTGAAATAAATCAATATTTGGGTATTTGCATTTATGCATCTCTAGTTCACCTGCCAAACTATAGAGCATACTGATCAGCAGAGCTTGGATTTGATCGAATTAAAAAAACAATGAAGAAATCTGAAAATTTAAAAAAAAAAAAAATCTAATGAATTTACAAAAATTCAAATCTCAAGTTGCATTATGCTTATGCAAAATGGGGTACAATCGAAATGCTAAAAGAGGAAGACCTAGTAATACTTCAATAGAACAAATGTCTCAGACTAAAAGATGCAAAGGGACTGCCCAATCTGTTCCATGTAAGGACATTCGTAGAGATGGATATAAATCATTCGCCAATATGGTCAGAAAAAGAATACGGTGCAAGTTTCCAAACTACAAGAGCTACACTCAAACTCAGTGTGAAAAGTGTAAAGTAGGGGACTTTTTACAACAAAGTCAATAACTGCTTTAAAAATTTTCATTGTATGTAAGGCTAAAGCAATTTATAACAATGAATAATAAAATCCTCATATAAAAAAAAGTTTTGTAATTTTACAGCATTACTGCGCAATGTTGCATTTCTGCAACAAACAAAAAAATGACTAAAATTTAATTTAAAACTGCTTAATTTTTTTAAAAAATATTTTTCGCTTTTATTATTACTTAAGAAGTAGCTATATAATTTTTTCATAGAAATTTAAAAAATTGGGAAGTTAAGGGTTAAACAAACTTTAGTTTTCTCCTAAAGAAAAAGTATCCATATATGTTGCCCTTGAAATTGAGAGTTTAATATTTTGTATGAAAAAGATTAAATTTTTAATGTAACAAA